ATCAAAAGAGAATCCGACTGAAGAACTTTTTCACAATTTTCACGTCTTCTGAGAATCACTTTTTTCAGAAATTTTCAAGAATTCAGCTTTTATGTTCCAGACATCCTAAACTTATTTAAAATGGGCCAGACAATACTCCCGAAAAAAGGAAGAAAGCACTAATTGGATGTCAGAATAAACGAGCGCGCTTTGACAGTGATGAGGTTGGACATGGAGACAGACACGGAAAATCGAAAAAATGAAATTCTTAAGTGGATGAATTCATTTTGGAAGGGAAGGAGGAACAGAATAGAATTTGGGGAAATGTTTGAAGGAGAGGAAGGGATTTTTTAGAATCTTAGAATTAGTCCATCATAGAATTTCAGGTTTTCAGAAGGCCATAACTTCAGAATCTGGGAATATCAGAATTTAGGAATCTCTATAACTGTCTAAACAATATTTTTCAAAAATGGGGAAATGGAAGAGGTTCTGAGAATCAAGAATGTGGAACTACGGATTTCAGTGATAAATGAGTACCGTATTTTCCCAGAAGCCCACCGTATACGTGCACTTCGAGCTTGATTATCTCGGTTCCTATTACAGATATCAAACTTTTGACAACTGATATAATACCAGTAATATTATGATACGTGTTTTATCAGTTGACAATTTTTTGATATTTTTTGAAGGAATCAAGATAATTGAGCTCAAAGTTGACGGTAGAAAAAATACGGTAAATTTGATTTTCGATACTCCAAAAGCAGATTAAAAATTGGTTTTACCTCAAAACCTACCGTAAAGAGACCACCCTATCCTTGCACTTTGGGCCCCTATATCTCGGTATCTGTAAAAGGTATCAAAAAGTGATCAACTGACAAAATGTTAAGTATATTATCACAAACATTTTGGTAACTAACCACTTTTTGATATCCTCTACAAAAACTGAGATATATTAACTCAAAGTTAACGGCTTGGGTGGCACTCTATTAGAGTGTTTAGGGTAATTCAAACCTAACTTAAAATTTTTGGTTTTCGCTCGAAAACAGAATTATGCTATGCTCATTTAACTTGACTTCAAAATAATAATTTATTTATAAGTGATGGTTTAAAATAAACCACCTGTCTCTGTCTAAGACAATCACCTGCACAAACGACACCCAATATGATCAACGTTCTGGCCTAAACGATTTGGCGGAAATTAGAAAATTCTTTAAGGAAAATCCTATACTCAATCAGATTTTAATGGAACAACCAATCAACTTTAAAATCGGAAGGTGTAAAACAAGACACATTCGTATCAGTTTTCAGAATACTAGTAACCTGAGTGAAGAGCCAATTCTCTCCTCTTTCCACCTTTTTGAGTTTACTCGACCGAATCCAAATTCTCAACCAGCAGAAACCAGAACAAGGAAAAACGGAGTGGTGTTTCAAACAAAAAGCCTTCAACACCACCTTTCCTTTTTTAGCCTGCGGAACCAACTGAACTATAGTGTAAATCCGTGCCTGCACAAATTTGTTATTATTCCTCTCCACTCCCATATTTTCATGTATTTGTTCCTAGAATTATGTCTGAAAATCCTTCTTCTTGGGATTAGAGAAATGAGTAAAACTTGAAAAGAGCATTTCTGGTCCAAGAGAGCTCTCCCTTCCACTTGTACTAATCCTTTAGCTGCTGTATGAGTAGTTGTGTGTGTTTTCAACCTCTTTTCCTTTTTGAATATGAATGTTTCCGGTTGGTTTTTGAAACGGCAGTTAGGAACTTTTTGAAAAACCCAAAAAGCCAATTTGAAGGTTCGGTATATGCTTCAAAAGAAGCAGAAATTTAAGCACAACTCTTTCGAAAACCGTATCCTTTTTAGATTTTATAAATTTAGATTTGATATTTGAATTGCCATTTTTTCAAAAAGCCCATTCGATTTCTCAAATTCTTCCCATCAAAACTAGCCAAAAATTACTAAAATCCGTCTATTCTAGGCCAAGATACACCCTGTTGTTTAGTTAGAGCGCCAGACAACGAGACACCTCTCGCTTCTCTGCGCCCCCTCCGCTTCCCCTGCTGTCTCACCTCGTCGACTTTAAAGGTGTAACTCTCTTGAAACTGAACCAATTTTTCTAATTTTTTGATTCTGAGCATTATTGCTACTTCCCTATTCGGACGGGTGGTACCGGCTTAAATTTTACTAATTGTCCTCATTTTCAGTTGAACTTGGCCAACTTTGGATGTCTAAAATACAGAGTAAATTTTGTTGGATAAGACTGAAATTTTCAGAGTATACTAAACAAAAATAGAGCTTTAATTTTGTAGTTGACAACTTTTTTGTACAAAACCATCCAAATGAGATAATCCGCTTGAAACAAAGCAGGTGCCAAAATTTAAAAAAAAATGAATTTGCACAAAAAAACCACTCAATGAATTTTGAGCTCAATTATCTTGGCTCCTTTGAGAGATATCAAAATCTGCCAACTAATAATTTGTTTATCATGATATCACCAAAATTTTATCAGTTGACGGTTTTTTGATATCTCTCATAGGAACCGAGATAATTGGGCTCAAAGTTGTCCGTGGGTATCAGAGGATCTACGGAGATTTAGTCTTTCTCTAAAATTCCCAAATTTCGAAAATTCCAAAATCAAAAAAATTCTACGCTCTTCAATATAATAATCTGAAATTCTGACGCTTTCATTTCTATTTCCAGACACCAATAATTTTTTCTCTCTCCAGGGAAAAACAAGCCTCACAAGCATAACACCTTCTTCTTCTTCTCCCACTTCTTCTCCTTTTCATTCCTCAAATCCCCCGCCCCCCTATTTATCTTTTTTTTTCCTTCTTCACGCTCTCCCACAGAACAATTCCGAACTGCAAATTAATTTTTGATCTACAGAAAAAAAGTTTGGCGCGATCACAATTGCAGGTCTAAAACCATAATTTCAGAATTTTTTATCTGATTCTGTGGAGTTTCAAGATGATTCAAATAATTTTTAAAAAAATGATTAGTGGTTATAGATTCATGTATGGTCGTTTTCCGGAAGAAAAATTTCAAAAATGGTCATTTTGAAAGTTTTTTACAGAAAAAATCTATCTGCTCTTTCAGTTTTTGACATTTCTAGGAGTTCTGTAGCTCAAAAAAACCGCAATTATTTTCTCTACATTTTCTATGGATAAATTTTTAATCCCCCCCCATAAAACTTTTTTTATAAAAAAAAAACATCATGAAATTGCACAAAATAGCATTTTTGCGTTGTTTGTTGATTATAAAAAAAGTTTTATCAGACGAATTAAAAATTCATCCATAGAAAATGTAGAGAAAATAATTGCGGTTGTTTTGAGCGGATAGATTTTTTTGAGGGGATAGATTTTTTCTGTAAAAAACTTTCAAAAATGCCCATTTTTGAAATTTTTCTTCCGGAAAACGACCATACATGAATCTATAACCACTAATCATTTTTTAAAGAATCATTTGAATCATCTTGAAACTCCACAAAATCAGATAAAAAATTCTGAAATTATGGTTTTAGACCTGCAATTGTGATCGCGCCAAACTTTTTTTTCTGTAGATCAAAAATTAATTTGCAGTTCGGAATCGTTCTGTGGGAGAGCGTGTTCTTTGAGATTTTTTTCATCTATTAGGTTGGCGGGAAAGTCTTTGTCACTCTGTTTGTTTAATCACTGTTCTCGTATATGGAGGCTGTGTATGATATCGACTCTAGTGAATAACAAGGTGATAAGAACCTTCCATATAAACAAGTCCCCATCTCCTTCCCTGCTCCTCATCTGTAATTGAAACGATATGTTTGTTCCCACTGCTATTCACATCAGACATGTTTTGATTTACCTCTTCCTATCTCACACCACGATGAAGGATTCGGAAACTTTCTTGAAGAATGTGTACAACACACATGCCCCTCACTACAATACTATTCGCAATTGGTTCCATCGTTTCGAAAAAGATGACTTCTCGCTCGATGAAAAGGATCGCTCTGGGTGACCCCGTGAGTTGGATTTGGACAAGCTGAAGCACGCATTGCAATCGGATCCATTTCAATCTAGCCGTGAACTAGCTGTCACATTCGGAGTTCACCATAGCACAGTCCTTGAAGGTTTGAAGTCTCTTGGAATGAGAAAACTTTTTGGTCGATTCATACCTCATCACCTGACTCAAGCCAACCTTGACCGCCGAGTCGACGATTCGATTACTCTTCTCACTCTCCACGCGGGCGATCGATGGCTGGACCGGCTAATAACCGGAGATGAGAAGTGGGTCTTCTACGATAATCACCACAGGAAATCCCAGTGGGTTGGAGAAGGAGAGAGCCCACAGGATGTCCCCAAACCCGACCTTCATCCGAAAAAAGTTATGCTCTCTGTGTGGTGGGGAGTGGACGGCCCCATCTACTGGGAACTTCTGCCCGAGGGCAAAACAATAACTGGAGACCTCTACACTACTCAACACGAAACCTCAAGAAAGCAGTCGACCGTTCGGCCCTGAAAGACAAGAAAGTGTACTATCAACATGATAACGCTCGCCCACATGTTTCGAAACAAGTGAAGCAGGAGCTGATGGGATATGGATGGAATGTTCTCCCTCACCCCCCGTATTCTCCTGATCTTGCTCCTTCCGACTATTGGTTATTTGGCGATATGACACGTGCCTTCGAAGGAAGAAGCTTCAATTCCCGTGGAGCGGTCGAAGCGGCACTCAAACAATACTTTGCCTCACGCCCGGCTGGATTCTACCGCAATGGAATCCATAAATTGAGGGAACGTTGGAGACATGTTGTTGATAATGATGGACAATATAATTAATTATTCGGTTATTTTTTCTTTGAGAAATAAACTATTGAAAAAGTGACAAAGACTTTCCCGCCAACCTAATAACTCGGATATCCGGTTCGGTCTGCGTCTCGTTTCGTCACTATGGTTACATTTTTTGGCACATCTCCCTCTCTTTTCCTCTCAGAACATTGATTTGTCGCCACCAAATTCCTCTTCTTTTTTTTTCATTCCTTCTGTTTTCTTAAGAATGCCGAAACAGCAATTCGAAGTCATCGACTACGCTGCTCCATTGTTCGTCGGAGCAGCATTTGCAATTGTCGTGTTCTTGCTCACTTTTGTCATCAACTTTGCGTTCATCGGAAGAACCGATGAGGTCACTGCGTTTGAGAAGGTGAGTTGTGCGGATCAGAAGAGATCAGAAGAAAAGAACAGAAGGTTCAAAAGATCGGAAGAACATGCATAAAAAGAGAGAGAGAGAGAGGGAGAGAGAGAGAGAGAGAGAGAGAGAGAGAGAGAGATCAGCGTTCAATGCTTCTTCTTCTTTAATGTTTTTTAGCTCTGAATTTTTTTCAGCTCGGCGCTCGCTACAACCTTCGAGTTGGTCCACATCGCGTCTCGCTCGTCATGTCGGCTATGGAGAAACACGTGGACGAGGATGGACATGAGTACTAGCTTCAGTGGTGTTACTCCACCGATCTCCCGAGTTTTTAAATTTTAAGCTCCATTAGAACATCCTCAAAAAAGTATAAAAAATCTTCATTTCCCGACATAATAAACCATTTTTAATATACTTATTATACACATTGAGAGTTGAGTTACGAAGAACAGATAACTTTGTTAATTTGAGGAATCAACGAAGAAAGATTATCGCAGCTGGAGGAGAAGAAAGCCTATCCAGAGGCATAGGCAAGTTTTGAGAGACGATCCTGGTCCAAGCCAGCGGCCATTCCAACAAGAATCACTTTGGCTTCCATTTCGTTACGAAGCTTACGTACGTATTCGAAGGATTCGTTTAAGTCTTGGTCGTCGCTGGAAAATGTTGATATTTACTATTTGAACTCCAAAGACCCACTTTTCATTAGCTGCTACGAATATGATGACAACTTTCTCAATTTAATTTCTATCTGCAAAATACTTGTTTCTTGCCAAACCATCTCATGCGAGCTTTTTACTCATCCTTGATAGCTACTTCTCCTTCCTCTCTTCATATTCATGTTCCTTTTCTTTACAATCACCTGATCCTCCGGTTTGAGATTACTAAAACAGCCTTCGTGTTGGTCCTCTCCCACGTCAAGTCAGCTATGGAATCCACGTCGACGAGGATCGACATGAGTCACCTCACATATACCGTATTTCCTGTAATAGAAGCCAACCTCTATTAGAAGCCCACCCCGCGAGGTGATTCGAAAAATAGAATCCCACCATCTAATAGAAGCCCATGGGCGTCTATTAGAGAAAATGCGGTTATTAAAAATTCCAGAATTTTTGGAACTGTGATTTTAGAACTTGACAATTTCTCAATTTCTGATCTACAGAATTCCTTAAAATTGCAGAATGAATACTTCGAATAATAAAAAAACACCGAAATTCAGAGTTCTTAACTTCCGAATTGTCAAATTTCTGATTTTTTGAACAAAATTTTTTTTGAAAATTAACCATGGAAAAATAGAAGCCCACACTCTAATTAAAGCCCACCTCTAATAGAAGCCCACCCTGAGAAAGAGGTTGAAAAATAGAAGCCCATGGGCTTCTATTAGAGGAAATACGTATTTAGGTTTTTTCAACACAAACAAGTATGAGTAGAACATCACCAAAAAAGTAAAAATCTTCATTTCATTTCATCCTCCCGACATAATAAACCATATATATTTATGGTCCACACTGAGAGTTGAGTCCCGAACAGATAGCATTGTTGATTTGAGGTATCAACGAAGAAAGATTATCGTAGCTGGAGGAGAAGAAAGCAAATCCAGAAGCATAGGCAAGTTTTGAGAGACTAGACTGATCCAACCCAGCTCCCATTCCAACAATAATCACTTTGGCGTCCATTTCGGTACGGATCTTATGTGCGAATTCGAAGGATTCATTGTAGTCTTCGTAGTCGCTAAAAAAATTTTCAGATCCAGTTTACGATATCAAAAACTCACTTTGCATTAGCAGCTACGAATATAATGACAACTTTCTCAATACCATATCTCTCTGCAAACTCCTTGCTATCTCCCAAACCATCATAAGCATATCGGAACAAGCACTCCAAGTCTGTACTGTTGTCAGCAGTCACATCGGGGACATAATCCAACATTGTCAACACTTCAGCGGTCACATTAGCATTGTTGGGAATATCGGTTGCAGACCAAACAATGGCGTAGTCGGTGTCAGTCTGAATCTTTCATTTCTTTTAAGAATGTGATAAGAAAAACTACCTGGAGGTTCAGCATGACTCTAACTTTATCCAATCCAACATTCCAAGTTGGTGTCAACTGGTTGGCAATGAATTTGATCTCCTTCTCGTAATTCGCTTGTGAACCAACATTGGCCAAAGCATTGACAATCAGGAAAATGTCACGATTGCATGGAGAAGCAGCTGGAAGAAATTCAGATGAGTCCGAAAAACAGAGAAACACTCACTGCTAACAGATTCATATTGCATCGAAAATCCGGATTTTTGAACAGTTGGGTTTGATTCGAAAGTCATTACTGCGTTTCTAGTTGTACTGTAGTAGACTCCAGGAGCAGTCACAGTGGATCCAGGTCCTCCGATTCTGGAATTTGTGAATGATGACATTAAAACTGACTCCTTACTCACTGAATAAGTTTCTTGGAAGTGACAGTTGGTCCATCGTAAATGGTAACAAAGTCACAGCAAGATTCCAAATCAAAATGAGAGAAGGAGAATTTCAAAACACTTCCTGGTTGAGCTGTAATGTAATAGTAGCACTTGTCATTCGGTGGATAGTTGTATGGATAAAATGGCGAATTAATGGTGCCGTTGTAATAGAAGTCGTTATTCGTGGGACATCCAATGAAGTCATCTTGGGATATAGTAGTCTTCGCGTGGCTCTAAAAAATGGTTGTTAATTTTTTCAAAGAAAAGTATTCCAATAACTATGTCAAAACCCAAAACAGAATCTTATAAACTCACATGTATCAACTTTTTGGCCCTCAAAGCTTCTACCGTTCCGAATAAGGAAGCCGCAATAATGCTCAAAATGAGAATCAGTGATTGATTCGACATTTCAGCTCGAGCACATAAAAAATGGCACGCTTCTTATCATGTCTTGTCTCCATTTTTCACCATTTTCGTCTCCTTTCCGGGTGATAAGAGAGCCAATTGAAAACGAAGAGGGGTTTATATCATTGGTATTTTAGAACATGGACTTTGATGATGAGTGATTCGATGCCGCTTTCAAGCAACCGCTTTCAAAATCGAAATTTGTTTTTGGTCCTTGATTGGCTTCCAATAGACCCCACACTGTGACTTTCAACTTTGAGCCAATTTATCCCGGTTCCTGTGTGAGATATCGAAAAATGGTCGACTGACAAAATGTTACTGATATTACGAGGAACATTTTATTTGTTGACACATTTTTGATATCTCAAACAGGAAACGAGATAATCTGTTTCAAAAGAACGCTCTTTTTATGGAGTCTCACAGATTTCAAAAGAAAAAAATTCTAATGATATTTAAACGTGAGGAAAATAATTATTTAAAAAACTCACGACCCTAAATGACCCATTGACCTCAGAGAGAATACTATAAAGAAGATGGAAGTGTAGAGAAGAATCAGTTCTACCTTCTTTGAACTTCAGAGAAGGTCCGAGTGACCTGGGTCCTGGATTCTGGTGACCTATATCCGGGTGACCTGGGTCCGGTGACCTGGATCCGGGTGACCTGGATTCGGGTGACCTGGGTCCGGTGACCTGGGTCCTGGATTCTGGTGACCTATATCCAGGTGACCTGGGTCCGGGTGACCTGGATTCGGGTGACCTATATCCGGGCGACCTGGATCCGGGTGGCCTGAGTCCTAAGTCCGGGTGACCTGGACCATGGTTCAGCGTTCGGGAATCGAACTCATTGATCTCACCATTAATTTTGGAAATCATCATTTTTTAATAAATAAATGTAACATTTGCTGCGTATTTTTTATGTTTTTATGTAGGAAATAGAACATTTAGAGAAGCTTCCGAATTAGGAATTTCTAAATTTCCAAATTTCCGAACATATACCTTGAAAAAAATTTTCTCTGAAAAAGTGACGCAACCTTTTCATAAGATTACGAATACTGTAACCGGAGGCCAGGTGGTTTTGCCCCGGTGTAAACTGACTGGATTTGAATCAAACGTGAAATTATATTTCTAAAAATTTTCGTGCTGCCGAGACACTTCTTTCTAAAGATAAACCCATTTTTATTAATCCGGGAGATCTTGCTCCACCCTATACAATGCCTTGTCGTCTTTGTCTCCACCTCATTCCTCTCAACATAGTGTCAGAATCATCTTATTGATTTTTATCTCACCTAAGGGCTCCATTGTATATGGTGCAAGGTCATTCCTTTCCCAGAGGATCTTTGGGTTTGCTCGCCGTCATTCGTCACCCAGTGCACGTCACTCTCTACTTAGCCCTAATATTCTTGACGGTTTTTCGCAGTTCTCTTTAGCTCGAAACTATCTCAATTCCAATAATCAAAAACTTTCACTATGCCCTCTTCAACTCCAGTAGCCAAAAAAGCCCGGTTCTTGAAGCCCGAGCCAATCGTAGAGCTTCTTATCTCCAAAGAGCTTCTCCGAGGTTTCAACGGAAAGTGCAAAATGTTAAACAGGCTCATGGATTATCCGGTAAGTGATTCCAAACTTCAACTCTAACTAAATTCTAACCCTTTTCAGAATGCTCAAATTCCAGCCAACAAGAGGAGGATGATCATCCTCCGTGGCTTTTTCGACGCATGGATCGATGCTTCAGATTTACTTGCTACTGACGAGAACATTAAGTTTTTCAAAAAATGTATGATCCAAATGCAGGAGTACGAAGAATTTATCATAAGAGCAGTCGTGCAAGGGGAGGATTTCCGAGATGTGCTCGCATCAATCAAGGAGAGAAAATCCAATCGATCTCCTTAAACTTTTTTTGTAAACTTTGGCTTGTTTGTGTTTGACAGATTAATTTATTAATAAAAATAGAATTTGAAAAGTATCGATTCTTGAAAAAAATGTTTGTGAGGAAAACCCCGACTCAATGCCATTCTCGAACCTCCTTGAGTCAGTTATGTTGACGTTTTGAAGATGTTATTTTTTGAAATTATCGATGACTGTCTCATTTTTTGTGTAAGTAACATCTCACACTGTCAGAAGATGTTTGTTAATGGTTACTTTATGACCTATCCGCCTAAGCCCATTGTATTGTTTTAGGGACACCTGGACGAGTGGGATGCCAAAGTGGGATCCCCTGACCTGTATTATAGTCTGTGCCCTTCCCAGGAGATCACTTTGTGTCTGGTTCTTCTTCTGATACCGTACTCTTTGTATAGAGAGCA